TTTCCTCCCAGTGATGAAATATTGACCAGCAAAAATCCTGCACAAACACACAACTTGAACTCTCCTGGTCTGCACACAATAAAGTAGTGACAGTCTGTGATATTCTAGCGCACAGTTAAGGTTATACAAAACTAAAAATTTTCTTTCGCCTTAGTCTTTTGTCGTTGTTGTTGATGGTTTTATGGGTTTTTTTCTTTCAAATGTTCGCCTCATAGATCTACATTATGTACAAAACATGACAACAGAGAAAAGAAAAAAAAACCCAAATGCATCCTTCGACTGTCCTCTCAAACACCTTTCTCCATTATATCTTCTTCTTTTCTTTGTATATTACTCTCTAGAAACACATCAAATCTTCAGCACTCGTATGACCTAAATATGCCACAAGTGCCGTAGTTTTAGTGGAGGTTTTACAGCGCTCGCAACAGCATTAGGTCATATGAGCGCCAAAGGGTGGATGTCAACAGAGAAGTCCTTACAGGGAATCAGACTTACTCTGCTCACCTCTCTCGCTTCAACAGCACAAAGTCTGCTTCGACTTTCAAGGCACACTGGAAATAGCGGGTCACAAGAGAGTGACAAACATACAAAAGAAGTAGAAGAAAAATGACCATGATAGTAAGTATGAGGAAAGAAAAAGCAGCAGTTCCCTGTAGTAGATCAGGCACAGTTATGAGAATGACATTGATGAATCAGCCCATTTACAATTACAATTCTAGAGTGCATAAGAACATGGTAAATGTCCCCTCTTTGGGAAATGGCCTTAAGACACTTCAGTCAGTAGCACCGCCCCGGGGATACAAGTGCCGTAAAACACTTGAAGCTTACAGGGGGGAAAACGACTGTAGTCACAAACTGAAAATCGTGAGAGTACCAATTTTGAACGCTTAGTGGCTCATTACTGTATTTCTGTTCAACGGTTGGTTGAGTATTGTTGTTAGATTTACCATTCAACACTTAAAGACAAACCACCAGTCAAACAAATATGAAGTTACGAGTCCACAAGCTTTTCAAATTCCCAGTTTGTGACTCCAGTCATTTTTCCCCTGTGCTCTTCACTAAAGTCAAACACAAGCAAAGACAGACTTACCGGCAGGTCAACTCTGTGAGGATCTGGCAAGGTCGACAATGGAGATGAGGGCTGGAGACAAACGGTGGGAGTGAAACGTGAGGTCACACAGTACAGAATAACTATACGGAAATACAACACATGGGTCTGTCTGTCTGTCCATCCGTCCGTCCATCTCTTTCTCTCTCCATCCCA